TCCCGTGACCTAAATGTCCACGCGGTCCTGATTTGGAACTCTTTAGCAGATGACATTGGCTGGTGGTCGATGTATATCGTGAATTGGAGAGCCACCGAGTCGGCTCCTAGTGTTTGAATGGTCTACGAACTCGACTTGTAACTGGAAATTCCTGGGTGCGAACCTCAGCGGGTGCGTAGTGCTGAAGAGTTTGAAAATAGGACAGTAGAAACAGCTGTCCTGTACACTTTCAGGTTTTCCAGTGGTTCTCTAATCGATGTCAACTCATTTATTAACCTACCACTACTCTACTGCTACGGCCACGACTAGTGGGAAACGAGGGAAACACAGAGACTTGAATACAACGTCGAATGTCTATTATAAACGTTTGAATGATATTTCATTAGTGTTAGCATGGTTCGTCGGAGGCAAAATCGGCAGTAAGTCTCTAGTCTGGCCTTTATGCTTTTTGGCAATTGTCAGAAAGTTGTACACCTGTAACATTGAAGGAATTGATGTCTACCCCTGCCCCCCAACCCCACTGAAATTCGAAACTCCATCAACCAGTGTCGCAGCCAGAGGGACAGATGTTACCACTGAGGTATTTGGACTCACAACTACCCACCCACCTGAATAGATTGTTGATTGGTGTCACTAGGAAGTAACCGATGTCATTTGTGTCTAGAGTCGTTATTTAATGTTGGTCTTGTGATTGAATTCCGTAATCCAAGTTTGTAAGGCGATCGAGAAGCTAGACGTACTTCGAATTGGTGTTGGGTGATTACCAAGCTGAATTAAGCGCTAACGGATAGACGACTAGACCATTTTCAGTGTAATCAATGTAATGCTTGATGGGATTCAAGGTGAAATGAATAACTCCGTCGTGGTGAGAATCCAACCAAATTAGGTGTTATAGCTGAGCTGGTCAACAGCCGGACCAATATAATACAGGAGCGGCTTGTTCGAATCCCATGGAGAATCAAGATTATCACTTCACTTTCATTGCCTGTTAACATCAATACAGCAGAAAGAGCAGAGAAGACATGATTTCAAGTGAATGTAGAGAAGACAGAGGTGATAGATATACACTTGACCACCAACAAGCACTAATCACCATCAGTGGGAGAAATTTGAAAGAGGTCACTTCTTTCACTTACTTAGACAGCTTCGTTTCAACTATGGGTGGTGCAACGGACAAGGATTGAGAAGCTTAGTCAAACCCCTTCATCATTCTGAAATCAGTTTGGGAATATGTTGCACTCAGCGTCAGAAACTTGATACGTCACCACAAGCATTTCCAACAGCACCCACCTTCGGACTTTTATCAACAGCTACCTCGTTCGCTAGCTCCATACTGAAGATAAGATGGCCTGTGAGAAGGAATTAGCAACGGGGAACTCTGGCTGGCAATGAACCGATCAAAAACCTATTGCTCAACAAATATTCTGAAGAAAATGGAGATGGATCGGACAAACTCTGAGGAGATCATTGAATGACACCAAGCACCAGGCAGACTATAGATTGAAACTTGAATAGTTGAGGATAGGTGGAGCGTTTCAAGATAACATGGAAGTGATAGTGTGAGGAGTAAATGAAAGCCATTGGATTGGGTTCCAGTGGCTTATTGGTCTACGAGCTAGCTCGCCTTGCAACTAGAAGGTCCTGGGTTCGAACTTTTTGTTGGGTGTCAAACTAGACAGACGAAACAGCTGTCCAGTAGTATTACAGTGCAGGTTTTCCAATGGTTCTCTAGCCGATATCAGTTCATGATGATATCCTGAAACAAAGGAAATTGCCTAGCAAGTAGGCGAAAAGGCGGATTATCATTTGGGTTATTATTATCATCGTGTTGTAATTATTCAAATGATTTCCTCCTCTCCTCTCCTCTCTTCTCTCTTTTTTTTCTCACTGTCTCTTTCTGCCTTGTTCATTTTGAAAAATTCTCAGAAATAATTAAAATGAGATAATTTCTGTAGTTAGTTAAAATTAACCAGTGACCATGAATGATGATGATTGTTAGAATAATGTGAAATATAAATTTCTGAAATAAAGGGTGATTAGCCTTGAAACTAAGCTTCACATTTATCATTATTATTCACATAGTGATAGTATTAATTTTACTTGTCAGATTGAATCACAAATTGACTTCAGTTAGAGAAACATTGAAAACCATTAGGGGGGGTGTACTGGGCAGCTGTTTCGTCCTAGTTCGTGACTCATCGGCAGTATGAACCCACTGTTTCGACCAGACCTACCAAATTCAAACAAATTAAATCTATACAACTCATTAAAATGTCCATTTGTTCGGTAAGAAGCAGGAATATTCAGAAAGAGAAAGAATAGTAACATGGAAAAAGAACTAGGGTTTTAATAGATATGGCTGATCGTAAACGGTGAATGTATCTGTGCTATTGACAGCAAGGATTTTGAACCGTATCATTAATTGTCTCCACCCATTGCTTCTTCTCATCCTGAGTACCCCAACCAGTCATACGTGGCTAGCTGAAAGTAAGGCTCAAAGATTTCATGGTTTGACTACAACACTAGCTCTTCCTGAACCTAATCCTAGGTCAGTTAACACTGCCCATAGAGGAAGGCGATGACTTTGCATGCGTAACACATGTTCTAGCTATCTCAATCGAAGCAACTTCACAACCTCATCGGTTTGATTTTCCTACATACCTAATACTTGATGCCTAACCTCAATATTACTCACCCTACTATTGTATCACCTAACCATGGGAGATAGAACGGAGACAGCTATCCTTTTCATATCTTACACTTTTGAATGGCTATGTCTCACTCACAGCCATAAAGGAGGAGGGTGGAGCGGACTGGTGGGCAGTATACACGTCCTTCGGTGGATAGTCAGCCGGGTATCACGTTTTCGACAGAGTGATGTACTCACAGACAGTTAAAATGGATTGCGAGCGTGAGTGCCTCTCCACCTACTTCATCTCGACCAATCGAGTAGTGATATCACCACTCACACAATATTTGTGTGTAGCTCAAAGTGTGGAATTTGAAAAAAACTCTGTTTCCAAACAAAAATGTAAAGTTTGCTTTCATTTGTTTTTTTAAAAATTTTGTAAGTACTGCCTAATGAATAGCCTTCTGCATTCGATCCTTGATAGGTGAGTTGAGAGTAGGGGGTGGGGGGTATGGTCGTGGTTGTGTGCTGCTGATGAAGTGTTTCAAACTAAGTCAAACCCCTTGCCAACCCTCCCTTCAGTTTTCTGGCGCTCTCTGGTTTTCAATGACTTCACAACTGTTGACACGGCCCTTAATAAAATCTACACTAACCTTCATAGATTCATTTGTTCGAATACGGCTTCACTTATCAAAATTTCAGATGTTAGAATAGTAGTAATCAATAATAATGATAATATTCAAGTATTGGTTTTGTAGGGATTTTGTTTCATTGGTTGGAGGATTTCATCATGAGCTGACATCAGTTAGAGAACCATTGGAAAACCTGCACTGAAGTACTGGACAGCTATTTCATCTCCCTAGTTTGGGACTCTTCAGCAGTACTCACTCACCACAGGGGGTTCGAACCCGGGACCTTCTGGTTACAAGGTGAGCTAGCTAGTAGACCGATAAGCCACTGGGACCTGATCCAATGGCCAGCCCATGAATTCCAACTTCTGCCAATTACGCATGACATAGCGTGACCACTTCGCAATGTCTTCGATGAATAACTGTCCTCACCTTCAACCTGCTGTACCCTACTGGTCAGAAGTTAGAATTCATGGACCATTGGATCGGGTCCCAGTGGCTTCATGATCTATGAGCTCGCTAGCCTTATAACCAGAAGGTCCTGGGTTCGAACCCCATGTGGTGGGTGTGTACTGCTGAAGAGTCCCAAACTAGGGAGATGAAATAGCTGTCCAGTACTTCAGTGCTGGTTTTCCAATGGTTCTCTAACTGATGTCAGCTCATGATGAAATCCTTCAACCAATAATGATAATAGCTTTATTTTGAACAATGTTTCAATTTTGGCCGCTTCCTATCAGTCTGCACCTATATAGCACGCGTCACAGTGGGAAGTCGTCTAGCGGCTGATCTCATAGTTTGACAGCCTGGCACACAGATAGACAAGAGACGTCGCAGAAATTTAGGAGCCTATGACTTGATGTAGGTGGGAATCTACTGGTTTTGGTGGTTATGCTAACTAGTCTTCTGTGGCATGCGTTACTATCCTTAGACGAAGATTCAAAGGCGTAGCTGCTGGTCCCTCTCTGTCAGTCCACCATCACACAACAACAAAGTGAAGCATTAGATATAGGAATCAACCAAAAACAAAGACAAAAGGATTAAGTCGAAAGGAGATCAATAAATGTTAGAACGATGATCTACACAGGTCAGGGGAAAAAGGAAATAACTACGAAATTATTCAGTTTAATTTTAACTTTCCCGTTGTGATTGATTGGACCTAAGCGCTCGGCTCCTTGTCCAAATGCTTCAACGATGTCTGATTACATCACTTGAAGTAAAATGAGTGGATAGTGTGACTAGCAGTGGACTCCTCCAGGATACACATTTCGTCCTATTTGGGACTCGTCATCCGGATGAATTAAATAATTACTGATACCCGTTGCACAAGAGGTGGTGGCTCTCGTGGCCCAGTCGGTCTAATGGATGACGCTTCGGCGCATTTGAAACGATGGGTACTGGATTCCAACCTCAGTGTACCTGGGGAATGCAGATACATCCAGGTGAAGAGTCTCAACTGGAACGAAACGTGTATCTTAGGTCCTACTGCTAGTCACCACCCACCGATTTACTTCAGATTGTGAAATTAGTTGAAATATTGAAGTGAATATGAGTATTGTTAATAGATTGTTTATTTCAAGGAGGGATTTCCGGGTCAGTTATTTTAATTATTATTAATTATTCTTATGCTGTTACACTATATACCCTTACTGAATATTTATTTAAACACTACTTTCACTACTTTGTGTAGATAACCATCATCTCTTTTTTTGTTTTTAACTCTTTGTGTATATTTATTCCTTTAGGTACATGTGTTGCTATCGCTACTGTATTGATATTAGTTATAAAATTTTGTGTGCATACATTTGCACAGAATAAAGAACCATGGCAAACTGGAAGACATTTGAAACAAATTGTCAATTATATTATTACTGGTGTTACAGTTTTAGTTGTCGCTGTACCAGAAGGTTTACCACTGGCTGTTACATTATCATTGGCCTATTCAGTTAAACGTATGATGAAGGTTAGTCATTCCGTTTTTTTTAAACCTTAATACTACTACTATTAATAATAATAATATTTCGAGTTTAACCACGAATTGATACCAGTTAGAGAACCATTGTAAACCACTAGGCAGTACTACTTTGAGACTTTTCATCAGTATCCACTTATGACCCACCGGTCAACGAAATGACCGCGTGAACTCTAAGGTTACGAGACAAGCCCATTGACACTTAGGAATAATGATATTCTCTTTATACTAGATGGTTCTCGCTAGTGACTGACTACAGGAGGAAGTTGCCTGGAGTTCTAGTGAGAAGCCGTGACCGGTGGGGTCCATCAAGTGGTTGGGAGTGAGGACAAATACTCGCCAGCGATGACACTGGCTGGTGGGATAGCGCTAAAATCACGAAGTAGATTGGTGGATGTTGGAATTCATGTTCTGGCGATGGGATAGGCGAGTCCCACTGGCCGAATATTCTACGAGCTTGCTTGCCCTATAACAAACGGAAAGTCCTGGGTTCGAATCCTGGTGGTGGAGGTGTACTACCGATGAGTCCCAAGCACTAGTAAGAAACAGCTGACCAGTACTTCAGTTCAGGTTCTCCGGTGGTTCTCTAACTGATTTCAATCCGTTATGGAACTTGAAACAAATAAAATCCCTTACAATCAAACTCATGATAATTAGATGTAATTATTCACCTTTATTATTATTATTACCCTTGGATTCCGAGTGGAACATATGGTTTCAACAACACATCTCCCCTTTCTTCTATCTTCTGCCATCCTCTTCAGCTGGTCCACAACTGCCCATAATCTCTCATCTCCTCCATGTTTCCCTGGGACGACCCACTCGTCGCTTCCCATTGGTATTACACTCGAGTGGTGGCCTGGCGTGTGATCTCATTCGACGGTTTCGTCAACTTATTCATCTCCATTTTCTCCTACATGTTTGTTGAGCTCTTGGTTGGTTTGTTCCCAGCCAGAGTTTCTTGTTACTAATTCTTTCTGGCCAGCCATTTGATCTTCAGTATGGAGCCAGCCAGTGAAGGTGGCAGCTGTTGATGAAAGTTTGCAACCTGTTAGAACTCCTTTTCGTGACACCCGCGCAGTGCAAGTTTCTGACCCGTATAGAAGAACCGACTTGACCTTGGTGTTGAAAATCTGAATCTTGTTCTTTATACTGGCTGAGTGCAGAAGATTTCCAAACTGGTTTCAGGTTGAAGAAAGGGGTGTATCTTGCCTTTCCGATTCTGGCTGGCTGGTTTTGACATCTTCATCGGTTCCGCCTGTAGTTGAAACGATGCTTCCTAGAATTAGTCTGTGATTTGGTATTTTCTTGTAGCTTTCAGAGAACGTGAGATGAGATATATAGCCACAGGACAGTATCAGCCCTTGTCATTTCAAGCAGGTTTATATTGATATAATATATTGAGTCACTGTATATATATCAGTTCTCATCTGTATACCTGTGAATATCTTTCCTACTGAAGGTTATTCTGTCATCTCTTTGCTGCCGTTTCTTAGACAGTCCGGTGATATATCTGCACATCGTATCCGCCCACGCTAAGTCTACTGTGATTGGTTGTTGAGTTCCTCAAGGTTGTTAGGCTTTGTTTTTGTTTTTTCTCATGACCCCGATTTGGGACGTAAACGTTGACGTCAATTGTTGTCTACAATTTTGTCTTGCAGACACCTCTCACCACAGTATCATCACACATATCTCACACATCAAGTATGGCTCGTGACCCCTACCCTGATACAACGCGAGAAGTCTGCTCTGCGTAATGAAGTATAACACATCATGACATAACATCCTAGTCATGATTATTATGTATGGATACAATATGTAGCAACATTTTCAGAAATGATTTCTCCTTTTAGTCAGTCCCTCTCTCTAAGTAGTTTGGTGGTTGGTGGTGACTTGCAGTGGAGTTGGAAAATAATTACTAACACCCATTGCATAAAAGGTGGCTCTCTTGGCCCAAGTACTCAAGTGGATAACGCTTCGTAGCGTTTGAAACGATAGGGCACTACGTTTGAGCTTCTATGGAAACACTATCACTAACTGGGAAATGCAGACACATTCACATGAGGAAGTCCCAAAGAGGACGAAATGCACATCCTGGCAGATTCCACCGCTCGTTCCACTATCCACCAAGTTACTTCAAGTTAATCCCCAGGCATTTTTGAAACGCGACACGTCAACACTGAGGCTGAACATTTCGATCCGATCAGTTAACAAGAAAATCTGAATTGAAATGAAACATCGTCCCTCTCTCTCTCTCTCCCTCGTTTATGTATAACTTTTTCATTTTCGTCACCTGCATAAACAGAAGACGAAGGAGAAAAACCGATAATGGTGGGAGGGGGGGGGGGCAAGATAAATCAATAAAAAGTAATGCGAATTTCTGATTTTCTAAGAAGACATCCAATTTGTGTGTGTGTGTGTGTTTGTGGATGCGCGTGTTCGTTCGGTTTTTCCCTGTTTGTCGAAAAGAAATCAAGCTTGATTAGAGATGATTTATGTCCTTTCTTTACTGTTACATTTTCTGGTGTCTTTTCTGTTGAAGAAAAGCAGGGAGAAACGTTGCACGAACCCACACACACACGCACGCGCGCACCCCTACACACATATAAACACACTTAGTTTACGAACAGACAGACAAACTACGTACAGATTCATTTCATTTCGCACTTTTTTCGCCTCTTTAAAACTTATCACCATCATCTTGTGGATAATTGACTACACGAAATCAAGAATTCAAAAAAAAAACAAATCTCAGGCAGCTCACTACATGTGTTTTGTTTAAATAAGATGTAATTCAATGTGTTCAATGCGTGTTACATATACACACAGAGTTACATGTATATTTTTTTTGAACTGTAACGGAAGAGATAAGTGTAAGGATCAAACTTCCTGTATTGTTTTGTTTTTTTTTGCCTTCAGATCTAGGTGACTCTACTGTCTTGTAATTAAGTTATTCGACTATTACTATTACTATACTACTACTTTTTGTGTTTTTTGTTAATTCCTGACTGTCATGTGATATCCTGTGTGGATAGTAGATTCTTTGATATGCATATCTCTAAGGGATTTTGAATTTAGACAAATAAATGTCTAGCATCCATATGTTGATGCTTTCACGCTGTAAATCCACGTATATCAGTTACTCGGTTGTGTTTTTTGAGTGTGTGTGTGTGTGTGGGGGGGGTTATAATCATTGCAAAGCAAGTCTCTTTAGTTGAAATAATTGATTTTTCTGAGATTCCCATCGATTGATTTTATCGGGTTGGAGCGCTTGGTCTAACCACCACTAACCATAATTACAATTATTCCCTTGGGTTCCAAACAGGGCCTCAGGAGCATATCTCCATATCATTCTGTCCTCTTCAGTTCTCTTTAGCTGACTACACGACTGATTACCTATGAGGCTTAATTTCCTCCTCACATAATCATCTTTCTCAATTCACCCTCGGACCTACGCCCAACTCATTGTATCCCATTTAGGTTCTTACTTAAAGGAGTAAACACAGGAGTCAGACAAGGGTACTTATTATCACCAATGATATTCCTAATTGTGGTGGACTGGATTATGCGTCAGACAGTGGGAAACGAGAAGACACGGATATCCTGGACCGACGTGAAGACCTGGATTTCGCCCGTGGATGATTTATGTTTGATGTCACACAAAATTGAAGACTTACAAGCGAAAACCAACAAACTGGTCGAAGAAGCAGCAAACACAGGACTCCAGGGGAACATAGACAAGACGGAGGTTATGAAAATAACCAACCAACAACAGCAGCAACATCCAGTGCCAATCACCATCAACGGGAGGGATTTGAAAGAGGTTACTTCTTTCACTTATCTGAGGAGCATTGTCTCAACCACAGGAGGAACGGACGAGGATGTCAAATCGAGAATCGGGAAGGCGAGAACCACATTCATCAACCTGAAACCAATTTGGAAATCTTCGTCACTCACCATCAACAACAAAATTCGGATTTTCAATACAAACGTCAAGTCAATTTTGCTTTACGGATCAGAAACTTGGCGGGTCACCAAGAATATTTTCAACAGGTTGCAGACCTTTATCAACAACTGTCTTCGTTCAATACTCAAGATCAGGTAGCCGTAAAGAATCACCAACAAGAGGCTATGGGAAGAAACAAAACAAGAATCAATCGCTCAACAAATATGCAGGAGAAAGTGGAGATGGATTGGACACTCACTGGCTGAGGAGGCTGCTGGGTGACATCACGCGTCAGGCCAGTGCTCGAGTGGAACCCGAAAGGGAAGCGGCGAGTGGTTCGTCGGTGCAAGGGTGACATGTAGGAGATTGTGTGAAGAAGAGTTGAAACAGTATGGACTAACATGGATGCAGGTGAAAAGTACAGCAGAAGACAGAAGCAAGTGGAGACGTGTAGTTGAAGCCCTATGTTCCACTAGGAACTCAAGGGAACAATAATAATAAAAAGGGTTTATCTGGTTTGTGATGTCTTCCCCCGGTATCTCCAGCATATGATCGATCCATTTCCATTTTCTGCGGCATATTTGTTGGCTGGTAGGTTCTTGATTGTTTCATTCCTAGAGTTTCTTGTTGGTGGTAATTCTTTTTGACAGGCCATTTGACCTTCAGTATAGTGTACAGCAAGCGAAGGTAGCTGTTGATGGGAAGTCTGGAGTATACTGTTGGAAATGCTTTTCGAGACGTGCGTTGCTAGTCTCCGAATCATATAGAATTCCTATCTTGACATTGTTGTTGAAAACTCAAATCTTGTTCCTTATATTGAGTATGCGATGAGATGCAAGGCAGAGTTGTGAATAGAGAGCCAGGTGTTGGGAGTCAGTCAGTATGGATTTAGACCATTTCTCCAAAGAGTTCAGGTATCTATTGACTACAATAGTAACGAATAAGCTGATTTAATGGTGTCACACCACTCGCCCAACTGATGACAACCTTTAACACCCTTCCTCTAAAAATGATATAGCCCTTTTTCAGTAGACCAGGAAAGACT